ACACGTAGCTCATAGTATAGCTTTGTGCTTAACAACAAACAAACATCTACTTTACCTTGATTATTCGAAAATGTGTCGGATCTAAAAGCCCAATCAAATATCCATTGTTTGTGATTTATTAGAAGAACCTCTAATTGAAAGAGTATAATAGTGTTACACTACACCATATCTGCTATATCTAGTGCCGATGAGGCCTTTCACCCAGTTTGACTTTTGAGTCCTGAGTCCTACTGCAATACGACACACACATAGTAGTGGTTGAGACGTTATTTGTATTATGAAGTTAAGTTGTTGTTCAAGCAACTTCATAATACAAATAACGTCTCAACCACTACTATGTGAATCCAATACAAGTTGTTGTTCAAGCGTATTGGATTCACATATTATTAGTCAAATGGCACTACACCACGTGTGTCCCAAAAGTGGGTTACCGTATGGTGTGAATTTCTGCACACGTTCACAGGATAAACTCAACTTCCGTCATCGATATAGTACTGAAAACGTTCGATACAGATCACCTCCACTGTTTCATGAATGCTCAATACTAGTACCTAGAAAAGCCTGTAAAGGAATCAGAAAAACAATGTCAACTTCCTCAATATTATTGTGGCAACCGACCTTTGGAACATCCTGTAAATACAATACAGATCACCTCCACTATTTCATGAATGCTCAATACTAGTACCTAGAAAAACCTGTAAAGAAACAAGAAGAACAATGTCAACTTCCTCAGTATTATTGTGGCAACCGACCTTTGGAACATCCTATAAATACGAAGAGAATAACCGTACCGTAGTCATTTGTTTAAGTTGGCCGTATTCATCCTATCTATTCCACGCAAGTATGTAGTATTACTTTGTTGTAGCTAGAAAATATATATTAAAAAGAAGATTGTATGAGTCCGGAACTTCTTCCAAAGTGAACGTGCATACATGTTTGTTTAGCAAATACCTCAAGCGTGGAAATAAATAACGAAAAAGGTAATCAAAAGTTCATCGCCACGTACATCTTTTGTTTGGAATTGCTTATGCATTTCCATTAAATTCTCTTTAGTTCTACTAAAGTTTGTGATATTAAATTTCTGAAGGCTATGCGCCATTCTTATCAGCACGTTCATCGTGGTATGTTTACGTAATTGATATTTCTTACAAACATGTTGTTGTACCACAGTAGTTAGGCTTTGCTTTTTGCGAAGAAAGGCTATTGAAATGTATATTTAGAAATAATTTTAAAAATGGTTTCATAGAACTCGCGTACTGGTACCAATGTTTACTTGTGTTTATGTAAATTTTCTTCGTGCAAGTACAACTTTGGTAAAAGTGTACTTCCTAGTAAAGTAAGGAAACGATATAATGCGGCTTTCACAATATGATTTAAAGTGGATGTATATACGTGATTCAGTAACGTTTTTTTTATGAAATTAAGGTTATACATTTGTTTCAGTACACCTCTGGTGAAGCTTTTTTTTTAACTTGTATAAGCCTAATAATATGTAAATAAACTGAAATTCGGTAGTTTCACGTTTTTACTTCATCCAAGCCTTGGTAACAATGCGGCTGCTAGGGAATAAAACTCGTGCTTCGGGTGCGATGTATGTACTAAAATAATTTGACTACTGATATACTGTTTAGCAAAAATAAATATATGAATATAGACGAGATTGCACTCTTGACCTCCCGCATACGAAACGTGCTGTGCCTTATAAGGTAGAGCCCAAAGATTTTTTTTTCACATATGCAGCATTATTAAATATATATATATATATATATATATAAGGCTTTTAAGTAGTGCTGTTGTGGTATTATTTTGTTGAACGTGAATTGAACAAAAACCTACTAATCAGGATATAGATATGTTGTAATGCTTGGAGACGGCTTGAATGGGTAATGAAGAAAAACAGCAAATGTATAACGTTTCGACAAGGTTTTGTCATCATCAGACGTTGTACATTTGCTGTTAAACGTATATTAAACTTTCTCTTCATTACCCATTCAAGCCGTCTCCAAACATTATTAGTCTCAAAGTAGGTTCCTCGTCATCGAAAATAGATTTGTTGTATTTAAATTTAAAGGAAATAAGTGTAAAAACGTGGAATGACTATAAAACGTTATAAGATAGTGAATTTTGTAATTTATGGTATCGAGAAGTATAAAAATGAACTGTCTTCGTTTGCCACTGTTTCACTTATTTGTCATTTTCCTTCCATATTAGTGTCAAATCTTTTTTATTTATTTTTTAACTCTTCTCTAAAGTATTAACAAAGCTCGCCCCCCCCCCGTGGCACAGCGGTATGACTAACGATGCTAGAATCCGGGTTTCGATACCCGTAGTGGGCAGAGCACAGATAGCCCATTGTGTAGCTTTGTGCTTAATTACAAAAAACAAACAAACAAACATTAACAAAGCGTCGGGACCACTATTACCAGTAATTTTAGGCCCAATTGTCGATTCTTAGGCGCCTGATATAGTTGGAAACGTTATAACAAAGTAAATTTTTACAATTATGGTATCAAGAAGTGTAAAAAATGAACTGTCGTCATGTGTATTTTTTGTAAATTTCTTGTGTTTGTCAAAATCACATTTGTATATGAAGTTCCATTCCGCAGGAAATATTGTCCTACTCCGACAGTTTGTTCCAGATCAGAAACAACTCCACCAAATAATTATATACCCTACATACCAGGAGACCACAACGGGAAATCTACGAACTTACAACGCTAAAATCCGGGGCTCGATTCCCCGCGGTGGACACCGCCCAGTGTGGCTTTGTTACAAAAGAAACACCTGTGCGTGTGTAGTTTTAATACTGCATAATTGTTGAGGCTATCAACAGTAACATTGCCAAGACTTATCATGTATGATAAAGTTAACTCTTACATAACCGTCTATATAAATAATAGCTGCTGGCAGTGTTCTAAAAAAAATTGCACACTATCGTTTTGCTGTTCCAAAGCAGAAAGGTATACTGTGTCACAAGTCGTCCAGAATGTCAGCCAATGTTTTTATCATGTTTGTCTTATTAAATAATAACGTTTGATGTATGTGCAGCGGAGGTATTTTTATGCAGTTTTATTGTGAAATTTTTGCACTCTCTTTGTTATTGTTGTTTAAAAGTTTTATGGTGTAAGAAATAGATGTTATTACACTACATACAAACTGTACATTATATAGTTCGCAGCGGAATTACTATAATGCCATCAAATTTGGAGTGAATGTGTCATTTTAGCTTGCTTTCTCAAATACTGGATAAACGTGAATTTTATTGTCTTGGATTTGAAAGGTCATTTTTGTAACATTCTCTTAAATTCACGCAAGTCTTTTTTTGTTTGTCTGTTTTTTACAATATAAGTATGATGGATACAGCTATGACGGTCTCGTCGTTTTATACAAAACTAATTAAGTTGTAGAAAACATTGAATAGTGAGTGATTACTGTGGTTGAATTTGTCAATATTTGTACAATTTAGTTGTTTTTCTGTAGACCTACTAATAGTTTATCTCATGAGAGCCCGGATGCGGGATGTTAGTTTTTTGTTTTTTTCTGATGATCGCGCAAAGGTATACCCGAGGGCTCTTGCGCTAGTTAAGTTTGAACTAATAAGACTAGAGGGAAGACGGCTAAGCCAACAGCGCCCATCGCTTGCTATTGGGTTACTTTAATTGAATAGTAAGAAGTGACTGTCTCATCTTCTAAAACATTCATGCCTCGAAATGCAGAGCTCAATTTTGTGGCAACGGGACCCAAACCTCATGCTCACTTTGTGGCACACTAACCACTAGTTCACGCCCCTACCAGATTATTTGGGAATCTAAATGTTAGAAAATGTTGAACACAGTTTTTGTTACTGTAGACTTTAGTTTCTCCATTTTTGCCATGTTAATGGCTCTGTGTGTGTGTGTCTCGATATATGTACTTATTATTTAATAATTCTTTCCTAAAATACGAACCGTTCAAGTTCTGTAATAATTGTCATAAATATATGGACACCTGTTGGCTTTAAATATGAACTAAAATAAAGCTGCCCAGTGTTTGTGAACACTGTTAATTCTTTGCAGGCTTTTGGAATTATGTTAGGGCAGTTTTTACTTGCTTTCTGTGCTGCTGGGTTCTGTGCTTTGACAGGATGCGTGATAAAAAGGTGTTATTTAAATTATGAAAAACTCCCCTGTTTTAATAAATTTCTACACATTCAAAATAATAATAATAATAAAACTTGTATTTTGTTTCTTCGTAATAGGAAAATATTCTATTTTGCGTATTTTTATGCTTCTCGAACAGACTGACTTTTCCCCCAGAATTCGGTTTCCTTCTCGCCACATACTTGCAAAGTTATTTTAAATAGATAGTATTGTTTAATGAAATAATGAATCAGGGAGTAAATCAAGTAAGCAATTGCTATTTTTTCCATGTCATTATATGGATATTGTCTTGTTCCAATGAGAACAGCCTTTTAGTAATTTTGTTATTTTGAGTGTGATAAAACATTATCACGCGTTTACTTCAGATTATTTCATCAATAAAACGTATTATGTTTATGTATTCTGATTGTAAGCTTTTTATAACGACTGACCACAGTAGTAGTTTGAATCGAAATTTATCTTAAACGTTAAAACAAAAGATGTAATTCTGCTTAAAGATCGGAATGCGAGGCAGGCATTTTAAACATCTTTCATCCACTTTTTGACTAACTTCATTTTTTGAAGGCATTAAGGTTTGTTTGTTCTTTTATATTGAATTGAAACACAAAGTGGGTCTTCATTTCAGTTGTTTTGCTGTAAGGTAAGCCTTCAGAATCAAGTAATAGTTCAAAATATACAATGGTAAAACTACTACATCTAAAATAACATTTCTAAGTAACGTGTGTTCTGAAATAGATTAACGCAGTTTTATATGAATTTTTTTGAATTTTTAAATAATGCAATTGTATTTATAGCTAAAAGAACCATGCTGAATGTAATTTTATTACACGTGTATGTACATATAACAATTTTCACTTCTAGTTACCAAGTACATTCGAATTGGAATCGGAGATAAAAACGACAACCCTCCTTACTTTGACCAAGTTCTATATGAAGCTGAAGTAAATGAAGATGAAGACATACAGCATACTGTGATTACTGTTACAGCTAAGGACAAGGATGAATGTAAGTACCGGTTAATTTGTTCTTAATCGTGAAACTTCTGTGATTAATCACAGAATATATATATAACGTTACGATAACGATGTTACCTACAGACACCGAAGGTTATGTTTCGCCCCGTGTGTGTGTGTGTGTATTTGTCAGTAAGATTTCTCGAAAACGGCTGAATTGATTTGGACGAAAATTAATATACATTTGGACTATGGCACAAATTAGAAGTGATTACTTTTTGAAAGGTAAAGGTCGTAGCAAAGTCACGAAAATCCAGAAAAAATCCCTATCTGTTAACATGGGTTCTGTTTTAACTATATATTGAAATTTTGTAACACGGTATTAAGAAAATGTTGGTCCTGCTGTTGTCAAAGAGAGTAATGATAAAAACAAAAAAAGGTATCCGCTGTCTGATGACCTTATGTGTTTTATTCACAAGTACTTTTCTAAACATTTCTCAACAAAAACACTCGTTTACCTAACATGGCTAAATAGATAACGCGTTTTAAAAACACATAATCTTATAAGAAGTGTTGAAAAGATTTACAAACTAGGGGGCACTCAGTGGAGCGCATACTTCCGCCATGCAGGTGTTGATCATATATGGCTCTAAAAAACATACGCAAATGTGTGCGTATGTCTGTCGTTATTAACGGTCATGGACCATTTTTGTCAGGACAAGGAATAATATTTTACATATGTTTCATCACAATCCGATCATTTTTGACTGAGTTACAGAGCAAAAATATTGTAAAAAAATACATTTAAAACTATGGAGAATCTTTTTATTAATTTTGTAACTAAAATTAGTTTGAGAATGCACAATCTTTAGTTTTCCTTGATATATTATGTTTATTTAAATGTCCTGTTTTAACTATATATTGGATAAGACGTTCTCTGATTCGTTAATCATTTCCGTGCGAAAAAACTATGGAGAATCTTTTTATTAATTTTGTAACTAAAATTAGTTTGAGAATGGACAATCTTTAGTTTACCTTGATATATTATGCTTATTTAAATGATTCTCGTTGCAAATAAAACGTTTATCATATCTATGAATTTTTTAGGTATGATTATACTAGTAATTTTTCAATAAAGTTACTTTTAAAACACTAATATGATATATATATATATATATAGCTTAAGTAGTGCTGCTATAAACATTTCAGTTTCCAATCAAAGATACGTTATTTCCATTCATTTGGATAAGACGTTCTCTGATTGGTTAATCATTTTTGTGCGAAACAACTCTTAGTTATTTTCATGCTTGACTAATTAGTGGATATGTTCATGTTTGTGATGTGTTACTCCAACTTTTACCATTTGTACTAAATTCAGGCCTCCCAGTGGACTTATGTCCATTGTTAAAATGTCTTTCAACACCTATACAAATTTGTATTTTATCAACCAACTTGAGTCACACGTATATGTATTTTTGTTTTCATAAAAAATTGTTGAAACGAGACAGTGGAAAAAGGATATAGTCCTTCACTGTAATTTTAAACAAAGCCTAATAAATTGGAATGTATTCCTTGTAAAAAAAAAAAAAAGAAAACTTATTTTTGTCCCAATATTATTGTTATTTTAGGAGTGGTTCAGGTTGGAAAATTGATTTGCTAAAGAAATTATGGAGTATACCCATAAAATGTTTTTATTTTTCTAGCCAACTAGCCTATAAAAATAAAATCTACTGGAGTCATTAGGAGTGAAGTCAATATTCCATTTCGATGTCTTATTAAATCTTAAAATACTCGGAAATTTGATTTTGAATAGTTGGGATTTAAAAAAAAAACTTTTACTTCTTCACTTGATAGTTGTTTTTATATTACAGCCTAAGTGTGTTCGTTATTCACGTGCGTTTATACAATAGTTTATGAACATTAGGATTACTTTATATGGAATTACAATACATCTTGCTTTTACAGAAATTAATTGTAACCGGCTGAGAACTACAAGTTTACAGAATATTAACTGTCTTTAGTTTAATTTAGTTCGATTGGTAAGATTCATTAAATAGAACCCTGGGACATTTTCCCACATAGATAGTAAACACGCTTTTAGCTTCACCACAGATGCCTTCTTCGGGGGAGTGTTACATCCTGATAGCTTCAACATTGTAAAAGTCGAAAGCTTGTAAATAATAAACAAAATAGTACTTACGTGAGAAAATGCCCCAGTTTTATTTAATATCAATTCTCCCCATATAATGAGTGAAGTCGCAATTAAGGGGGATTCGTGTTGATGACGATAGTACATTATATCTAGATATAAAAATCTGAATTTTTTGTATCTGGTTAAATGTGTTTATCGTTCACTAGGGCTCTGTACTTATCAGATATTATTTATTTGGGTGTATAAAGATAGCGTTTCAGTACTGTAGGGTTCGGTATTATAGGACTATAACATTTGAACGTATTAGTAAAACATTATTTTACTTTCGGAATACCCATCACGTGCATCGACTTCCCCTTTCTTGTTTCTTATGGTCTAACCAGAGAACGTTATTCATATCGCATGTTCCAGCTGTCATTGGATTTTAACTTTCATCATTGACCAAAGTCTGTAGATGGAAACGATGCTAAGTGCAGTGTGTTTTAGACTACAGACTTAATTAGAGGTTATCCTCTCCGCATGCAAGAGCTGTTGGTGAGTTCTGCCCTTGAAAGCAATTGACAGCGCTTGATAAATGTGTTGTCGACAACAATACTTGATATCTAATGACTCCAGGGAATTCCTTGAATGTATCGGATTGACAAAGTTAGTACAGTTGACACCATTATGAAGGAAGCAACGATATAAGGTTCCTTGTTATGTGAAATGCCCACCATCCAATAGCCTATGGAAAACGCTCTTTATCTTGCGTGAAGATTATAATGACAATTGACTGCATCTTCTAATATTCGTAAGTGTATAAGTTTACTAGAACATCGATAGCCACAAGTAATGCGAAATTCTCTTGTGGAATTCAAAACAAGTGTTCGAAAATGATCACGTGCAGTTTAATAGTGTCACATTCTCTTTGTAAGCTGCAGAAGTAACTTGTGGCCGTTAGTATATAATTGAATAAGGTGATAAACACACTGAAGCTGATCAGTAATAAACATTTCGTTAATCAACTCGTGGAAGAGATGAACAAATGTGATATATTCCATTCATTAGAACCGAGGTAAGAAACTACGTTTCAAATATAGCAGTGAGTGAAGTTTCAAGCATGGGCAAACCTACCCCCAAACATTACGTGAGGCCAAACGTGTGCACGTAGAGTTATAATAAATGCACGTGGAACAATAACTAGACTGGTCACGAGACAATCAACCATCCGCAATGAAGCATTTGAGTGCTTGTTCACCTCTCACCAGTCAAAGTGGATATAAAAACGTACTATAAACCAGGTTAAATTTACTTCCTAAATTTATTTTTCGTAACTCTTTATGTGAATGTTCGGTGTTAACTGATGTTAGAAAAGGCAACTTCCACCACGGAAGTTCGGGTCTGTTCTTAAATTTTGATGCTTACTATTTTAAGGAAGTTTATGCAAATATTGTACGTAGTGGTCGTATCACATTAGACACATTTAAAAACGTCATTTCATTCATGAGCATTTGCAAAAAATAATAATAATAATAATAACAAGTGTGCACTATTAAACAGTGTAGACACTATGTTTATTTTGTTAGTACTTATTTCGGTGAACATTTTAATCCGGTTACTGAAATAACCAGATTCTCAAAGAATGCGGTTTCCATAACCATATAGAATGATGTGACATGTTTGAATTAATATTTATCTCAACAAGTAAGCTGTTGGTTAGGGGGAGTAATATGAAATGATAGTAATATAAAATGGAACAAAACAACATTTTAATTTATTTTAGCGAGGGTCTATTTTATAACATTTTTGGTGCGATATAGAGATGTTAGACTTATTTCTTTAAAAAAAAGTGGATACGTGCACTAAATAAACTTTTTTTTAAACAAGAGACCCAATCGTAATGAAACTTTGATGTTGAAAAATCCAAATCGGACTTAAACTTGGGCGGAGTTTTGAGGAGTTATATATCTAGACTGTTTTAATAGGACCTTATTTTAATTTATATCGCACCAAATGGAAAAAAAAAAGTTATAAAATAGACCCTCGCTAAAATGAGATAAAAATAATAGGACCTCATTTTAAAACATTTTTTCCTAGACCTCTTCCTTAATGGTACTTCTTTCCATTTTAATAATGTACATTAATCTTGGGTGTAAAATTGTGGTAAAGTGAGTTTAATGCAAAGTTTCGAAGTGAGTTTTCCTGGTGGAGAATCATTGTGATATTTCAGAAGAAAAGTGACTTTTTCTGCTGGATAATCCAAGCGTACGTTATGAATTGAATTGTCCTTCGTGCGGAGTTCGTTGCATACAAATTTACAGAAATTTTGTAGTTAAGTCCATCTTCGTAAGTTACATAAGTGCATTTTTACTTCCGTATGCGTATCAAGTGATGAAAATCATGATGCCAAAAATTTCCAAACGGAAAGTGACTTATCACGGAGAAAGTCTGACACTTTGAAAAATAAACGTCAGGATGCAAGTTACAGAAAGAAAGAGCAAGTAAGAGATAGGCTTGTTCATCAAGTTATGATGCAAGATCCAGTGAGAAGAAGCCAGGAACAAACCCGAAATCTAGAAGCACGCCGTTCAGCTCGCCAAGATCCTGACTGAACAACCGCCCGTATGGCGGCATTCCTGCTAATATTTTATATATATATTTGCTAGTAGAAAAATAAGTTTTCCAGATACTATATTGATGACACCGTTTTTATAAAGAAGTCATGAACGGAATTGTTTCCGTTATTGTATACGTTCTCTTTTTCTTTTCGATTACATAGCGAAAAAAATCCAAATATTTAATGACTGTCCATGGCCGGTTTTCACTCTGTGTTCGTTTTTCATTCTAAGGTATACATTATCTTACTGACAACAAGATATTGATAATTAGGATAATATAAACTGTTCATTTAGTCATGTATT